ATGTAAAGAAGAATATCTGAAATTCATCAAACAATAAAATTATGTATTAAAATGAATTTTCTAATTCTAATAAATAAAAAAACTAAAGATGAGGCTGTATGGGCATTGATCTTTTTGCCTTCCCTGAAAAGGGAAAACTACAATGTGTCGATTCTGGCGTAAGGGTGCGGCCAGAGTGCACTCAGATTCAGATTCAGATTTCGAAAACAAGCGCGAGAAATAAACACTTTAATCGAAGGGTACGGCCAGAGTGCACTCCTGATTCAGATTCAGATTCAGACTCAGAAAACAAAGCGCGAGAAAAAGCAGGCAACCTGCTTAGACTACACTGTTTATTTCTCGCGCTTGTTTTCGAAATCTGAATCTGATTCTGAATCTGAGTGCACTCTGGCCGCACCCTAATTCTCTAAACTTAAAATTAAATTTAATATCAGTCTCTCCTTTTCTTTCTGTATAGAGAATGACAGGGATGCACTGTTGTCAACTTTAAGTTTGGTTTTAGAGAATCATGCCAGAATCGACATCCTAGTAATCTGTGATAAATGTACTCTGTGCAGTGTGACCAGATTCAGTATTTTAATACTTGTTCGGTCTATTTTATCGACTTTTCGGAGCGTCATTATGTTCGGGTATATTTAAAAAAAAAAACGGTGTTGCTATAAAAATTTATAGCAACACCGTAGCAATCGCGCGTTAATATTACTGTTCTGTTGATTTCCCGGATTAAGTCTTTAATTCATATACGATAAGTGGTCAGGAAATTACAGCTAGGACATGACGGGCAGATCATCTAATTCTAATTGCTAAGACGATTTCAGTGAAAAGATTTTCTGCTCTACAGTTCTGTTGGCTCAATCTTTTAAGGAATTCAGGAATTTCCCTAAAGGAATACGTTTTTAGTCGTCATATAAATATGAGTGTTTTCTTGTTAATATTAAATAATATTATTCAAATATATAAATAAATAATATAATATATATTCTAGATGTTATATATATAATGCATCAAACTAAATTACATAATCATAGACAATAGAAGACATATTGGGGACATAGATACCTCTTTTCTTGTGGGTTACAGGACGGGATGTTTATTAAAACCAACAAAATGTCGAGATTGTGAACTCAATCAATCAAATTATTATTATTATATTAATTATAATACTATATATAATTCTTCTTACACTTACCTTTCTTTTTAATAGCTCTTTAGCAAACGCGATTTTTCCATCGGCTTGGAAAGAAGCCCAAATTATCTCTTTGCCCAAAAAATAGAATATTCAATCTTTTGCCTATTTTAGGCCTATTTATATCTTCCCCTTCATATCTAAAGTCCTCGAACGTCTGATCCATAACCAATTAAATATATTCCTCTCTCGTCATGACCTTTTTAATCCTCTCAAATCTGGTTTCCGTCCTGGGCACAGTACCACGACTACCCTCTTGAAAACCACAGATGATAAACGCCGTGGGATGGATCAAGGTTACCTAACGGTATTGACATTAATGGACTTCAGCAATGCCTTCAACACTGTTAATTTTGACATTCTTATGGCGTTGCTGCGCTCACTTAACGTATCTCCATCGGTCATTGAGTGGCTTCGCAGTTATTTGCAGGGACGCAGGCTGAGGGTTCACCTCGATAAAATTTTTTCCTCATGGAGCGACACTTTCGCTGGTGTTTCCCAAGGCGGCGTTCTATCTCCTCTTCTTTTCGCTTTATTTATTAATTCTATTTCCAAAAATATTTCTTCTTCCTACCACCTGTATGCAAATGATATTCAAATTTATAGACAAGCCCCTCTTGATCAATTATCTGAAGCAATAATAATGATTTGCGACGTATTGTAGAGTGGAGCAAATCCTTTGGACTAGAGATAAATCACTCCAAAACACAATGCATCATTGTAGGTAGCTCAAGGTTGATTGCAAAGTGAATTTGCAATTACTTCCTGACATAACTCTTGCTGGCACCAGTATTCCGTTTAGTGAACTATAAAAAAATTTAGGAATAACTGTCGATAACATTTTCAGTTGGGATCCACAGTTACAAGCTGTTAGGCGAAAATCGTTTGCTTCAGCAGCTTCGCTGAAGAGACTCCGTAATTTCCTTCCTATTGCCACCAAAATTGCCCTAGTACACTCTACTTTCTGTTACTTCCTATTCTTGATTACGCTGACGCCTGCTATCCTGATCTCACGGAGGACCAGCTTAACAAGCTTGAGCGTCTTCAAAATTTCTGCATTCAGTTCATATTCTGCTTACGCAAATATGACCATGTATCTCAGTTTCGATCACAGCTCAAGTGGCTACCTATGCACCTTCGCCGGAATACTCATATCCTCACACTTCTCTATAATATATTGTTCAATCCTTTGTCCCCGCGCCATCTCAAGGAATGTTTTAATTACTTTCATAATTCCAATGCGTTATCTCTTAGGTCATCAGAAAATTTAACCTTCAAAATTCCTATTCATGACATGAGCTTCTATGGTAGTTCTTTTACCGTCCAAGCTGTACGTCTATGGAATTCTCTTCCTGTATCCATAAGACGAGCGCAATCTATTAAATCTTTATATAAAAGATATTAATCTATTAATATCTTTAAAAATCTAGTTGTAAATCACTTTTTGTGGATGGAGCTGCATTTTTATCTCTGCTGACTGGACTAAACTTATATATGTGTAGTCTATGTTTAAATAATATGTGTGTATATATAATATTTGTATGTATATATGTTACGCTCAAAGATCAAAAACGCTCAGTGAGCGGAAAAATAGCTCACAACGCGTTGTGGTCACAGTAAAACCACGGTAATATTATCTATACAGTATTGTGACTCCGCCCTGTCCTTGAAAATAAATGCCTACGGCCGAGCGCCGCGTTAGCACGCGGTAGGGCCGCCCGCCTACAGTATTTTATGTAGTTTTGTTTTTAACGCGAGTGTAGGTAGATTACTCGTTTGTCTCTTTTTTCATCCTAACCACTTATTTATATATTATTCCAGATATTTTGCCCGATGGAAAAACCGAAATACCTAAATATTAGAAACAAATAACGTACTAGTAGATAGGTATATAAAAAAAAATCTATAAAGGTAAGACACCTTTCCAATATTTCAGGTAATTTAAAAAATGATATCTCTGGGTGTATTATTGAAGAGTTCAAGCAACCAAAAACAGCAATTGTGCTGTTTTACGATATTGATCGTCGTTTGTTCTTTTCCATACTAAATTATGTAGGTATCTACTTAAATAAATCAAATATTTACAATACAAAACGCACGTTTAATCACGGCTAACTGCTTAAAAAACAATTCAGACCGTTCGGTCGTCGTTGTGGCGCGGCGGCGCATTCGCGACTGGGTGCCCGCCGAGAGCACATCGAACTCGAGTGGCGTAGGTATGACTCGCTTTTCGACCGTTTGTATGAAGATAGAATACTGTATGATATTATTACCGTGGTAAAACATCCACATGGCGAAATTCGTGTTATGGCTCTAACGAAAATGCGCACGACGCTTTGTGGCAATAGACGAAATAGCGTAATTCGTGTCGTGGCTGACATGCTATTCGATCTCAACGCGTTGTGGCAATGAAGAAAAGCCATGACGCGTTCTGAGCACTCATTGTTTTAAACCATATCACGACGGACAGGTTGTAACTTATCGGTGTCGGCTCGAGTGCAAAGACGCATTGAAACATCAGTTTTATTCATTTCTTTTCTGTTTATGAGAGAAAATTTTAATGGCAGCGCTAATTATGACGAATAAAAACGAAGTGTTTCACGATAATTTTTTGTTTCATTCAGTAATATTAATTTATATTTTTCTGTAGTCATGATAAAACTGCAATCAGTGCATGTTTCCACAAACTCACGCAATTTATCTTAAAACACTTTGTTTTTATTCGTTATAATTAGCGCTGACATTAAAATTCACTTTCATAAACAGAAAAGAAATGAGTACAACTGATGTTTCAATGCGTCTTTGCACCCGAGCCGACACCGATAAGTTACAACCTGTCGACAAGTTGCATAAAGTCGTGATATGATTAAAACAATGAATGCTCAGAACGCGTCATGGCTTTTCTTCATTGCCACAATGCATTGAGATCGAATAGCATGTCAGCCACGACACGAATTTCGCTATTTGGTCTTTCTGTGATTGCCACAACGCGTCGTGCCCGTTTTCATTAGAGCCATAACTCGAATTTTGCCATGTGGATGTTTTACTGTGACCACAACGCGTTGTGAGCTATTTTTCCGCTCACTGAGTGTTTTCGATCTTTGAGCGTAACATATATATTTAATTCATAAATTCGTTTATATACCTTGTTTCTTTTACTGACACCGCCGACTCTAGCTTTCTTTCAATCCTCTCCATCCAAAGGTTATCTGGAAGTAATTGCTTAAGACCACCCATTGAAGCACTCTTTTTTTACAATTGCAATTTCCCTCATTTCTGTTCTGTGTTGTGGTGTTTTCAATAAAGTATTGTGTATTGTATTGTATAATAGTTAACTAGCGGTCACCCGTGACTTCGTCCGCGTTAACTTTAGTAATTTGAAAAGCCCACGGGAACATAAAATTTTTCCGTGATAAAAGGTATGTCTCCAATCCAGGTCAAAATCTATAACTGAACATTCAAATCCTTTCAGTAGTTTTTGTGTGATTGAGTAACAAAAATACGAATATATAATTTTTGGTAGGATATATAATATATAATAAAGATAAATAGAAAAATATAATTACTAGTTTTAGTGAAATTTCTGTAAAATGTATACCAATATATAAATTATCACGCGAGCCCCTATTTTCATAGATAAATTAAATAAAAAAAGGACAAAGAAACAGATTTATAAACAAAAAAGTGTTGATGATTGAATAAAACCTGTTTTGAAAATCAGTATTTTTATTGGTATATTTTTTTGTGCAAGTCGATTTATTTCAGTATTTTTTTGAGGTGCTTCGGTATTTTCGTCAAAATTATTCTGGTCACACTGACACTGTGTGTTTGTTTGTTGCAGTTGCATACAGTACTAACAGTTAAACAGTTTACAGTACGCAATAGTTGAAAAAAAATGGAAGCAGGGAATCCAGAAAATGATTCTAAAGTAGTAGAAATCAAATTTAAACCTATTAAGAAAAGAAATCTGCGGCAAAGAGTGAAGGAAGAAGAATCGGATGACGAAGAGCACATATTAGCCAAATTGGAAGAAACGAAAGAGTTACAGAAGCTTCGAGAAAGACCCAACGGAGTCAGCGTCATTGCATTAGCTACTGGTGAAAAAACCACGATAGAAGATGAAGTTACTTGTAAAGATACATTCAAAGTTAAGTCTGGTGGGATGGTGAACATGCAAGCATTAAAAAGCGGGAAAGTGAAACAAGTGGATGACGCGTATGACACAGGGATTGGCACACAATTTTCGGCTGAAACTAACAAACGAGATGAAGACGAAGAGATGATGAAATATATCGAAGAACAGCTAGCGAAACGGAAAGGTAATTTTATATTCAACATAAATTTTGGTGACAGGACACAAATTTGGTATATTTGCAAATTGGAAACTTCCAATAGTATACTTACTATACTAACACGCAAAGGACAACTAATGTGACTGAAAACCTTAAATTTTTAGTAGCTCATTCTGTTCGCACTACTAAATAAAGCATATTGGCCGAAAATGTCAGGCGTTAAATTCTTAATTAGCAAGAAATTGGCTAATCAGTAAAAAACATGAAAACTTATTTTTATGGCAAGTTAAAATATTTTTAAGCATTTTAACTGCAATAATAAGTGTAACTACATGAAGAGTGCATCACTCTACAGCAAATAAAATTTTGAAAAAATGTATATTACGAAAAATAGAATTTTGACAAAAATTCAAATTCAAACAATGAGATTGCAATCAACAATCGGTTAGCCGCCATTAATTAGATCTTTGTTTAGAATTTAATTCTTTTGACATGAATTTGTAAGTAATCTGTTATAGCTTGACTATTTTCATTAATTTTGAAATTGAAAATTTAGATCATGCGGAAATTAAATATAAATATAAAGAGGGTAATGCGATCAGACCAAAGATTGCAACAAATTTAAGATTAGCCATAAAAATAAGTTTTCATGTTTTTTAGTGATAAGCCAATTTCTTGCTAATTAAGAATTTAACGCCTGACATTTTCAGCTGATATGCTTTATTTCGTAGTGCGAACCGAATGAGCTACTAAAATTAAATGTTTTCAATTACATAAGTTGTCCTTTGTGTGTAAGATTCATAAACTACATGTAGTAATTCACCTCAGGCACACCACAATTCTACCTGAAGCATTGATTGAGCTCAAGATGTTGTCCACAAATTATAATAGTGATAGCCTACAATGTTTCAAAAACATTGTCTTTAACTTTGTTCAAAACTGGTTTCTGACACTAAGGCCTGTATTATAGAAAGATTCTCAGTGATTAATCTATTCTTGAGCATAGTTAGAAAGGGATGTCGCTATATATAGCACATAGCGATTTCTCTTTCTAACTGTAATCAAGTAAAGATCAACACTTAGTTGTCATTCTGTAATATGGGCCTAACTGTACTCAAGTAAAGATCAACACTTAGTTGGCATTCTGTAATACGGGCCTAAGACTCATATTACAGAATGACAACTAAGTGTTGATCTTTACTTGAGTACAGTTAGAAAGGGATGTCGCGATGTGCTATATATAGCGAAATCTCTTTCTAACTGTACTGAAGTATAGATCAACATTTAGTTGTCATTCTGTAATAAGAGCCTAAATGTTTTTCTCCCACAATCTATAATAATAATATTTATAAAACCTTTTATTTAATCCATATAGGTTATTTACGTTGAATCGAAAAGAGTCGAAAAGTTGTTACTTTGTTAGTTGTAATTCTTGATTGTTAAGTTGGTAGTATTAGTTTTTATTCAGGAGCATGGATTCCTCTTTGGGTGAAGGCCTCCTCCAGTTTTTCCCATTCTTTCCTATCTTGAGCTGATTTTGTCCTGTGAATGTTTGCTGTTTGTATAATATCATCAGTCTGACGTTTATATGGTCTTCCAATTTTCCTTTTTCCATATGGTCCTCTCCATTCTGTAATTTTCTTGGTCATACACACACGTACACACACAATTGATACTAACCCCCATCAAATAAGGCAAGACATTTTATGAAACTCGGTGACTTTTGCATGATGCAATTCTGCTATCAATACTTTTTTTATTGTTTTAGAGGGCCATAATCAAGATAGGAAGGACACAGATCACAATGATTCTTTAAAATATTTATCACCTGAAGAAGCAGCATTACTATCCCTCCCTGATCATTTGCGTGTATCATCAGCGCACAGATCAGAAGAAATGTTGTCAAATCAAATGCTCAGTGGTATACCTGAAGTAGACTTGGGTATTGATGCCAAGATTAAAAATATTGAAGCGACTGAAGAGGCAAAAATGAAATTATTATGGGAGAGACACAACAAAAAGGATGCACCCTCCCATTTTGTACCAACAAATGTGGCAGTGAACTTTGTCCAGCATAACCGATTTAACATGGAGACTGATAAGAAACGGAAAGTAGAAAAAGTAGTAGAAGTTAAGAATGAAGTCAGTGTCATAGATGAAAATGTAGATAAAATAGTTAAAAAAGCAAAAGGCGAAAGAGCCACTGATGATTATCACTATGAGAAATTTAAGAAACAGTTTAGAAGATATTAAACTATGAAGACTAGTGTTGCCGAACTATCGATATGAAAACTATCGACAGTTTACATCGAAAATCATGTACCCTATCGATAGGCCTATCGATAGAATCGATACAATCGATAGTATCGAAACTATCGATAGCACAGAACAAGGCAATACTATCGAATGAGTGCAATAGTATCGATACTATTGATACTATTGTAGTTCGTTAATAACAAACTATTGATAGTATCGATACTATCGATACCGTTGATTTTATCTGCAACAATACTATCAATAGTATCGATACTAGCGATTGTTTTAGACTATCGATAGTTTACCAATTTGCAATAGTATTAGGTATGTTTTAACAGTATTGTAGTTGAGGACTATTAGAGGCCGATATATATATTTTTATAAACATTTCTATCGAGCTGTGCTAATTCTACTATTTTATAAGAAAAGAAGCAGCGTTTTGAAATGACACATAAATGTAAGTAAGTATTTCTGTACCTATTACCTAAATAATTGAAGTATGTTGTAAGAAGTTGTATAGAAGTATGATATAAGTTATAATCAACCAGGTCAGAGGTAGCAGGTACAAATTACATAAATATGGATATTTATGTAATTTGTACCTGAGCTGAAGTAACAAAATATAATGAAAATTTGTCTGTACAAATTAATATTTAATTTCACTACAGGTGTTGTTATGAAAAGAAACAAGTGGAAGCGATTTTTATTTATTTGTCTTTATTTTTCTAGATAAATCAATAACGATGATTCCTGAAAGTCAAACTGATTCTGAAGATTTGTTTGACAGTTGTACAAACAAAACGTATTTAACAGATATATCTACTAGATGTACAACTGGAACTGGATATTCTAGAACCAAAATAATCAAATTGCATCAATGCATCGAAAAATGTATACACGATGCTCAGACGGAGTTTGACAGCAGCGAAACTGAGGATGAATTCCAAGAAAAAAACATGGATATTAGCGTAAAAACTATGCCTGATGAAACAAAAAATGTAAATAACAAATCATCTGTTCACTACCATTTTGGTAATATAGTAGCTGAAGAAATTAAAAAACTACCCCCGTCTAAAAAATTTAAATTAATGGCTGAAATTTTAAAAGTAATAGAAAATTTTCAAACAGATTAGTGAATGAAATTCAAGTTTCAATCACTAATCTACCATTTAGATTTACAAATAAATTCCAATCATAAAGTGGATCACAAAAAATATAAATCGTCATAATTAAAATAATATTTGAATCAATGCCGTGTTTACTTAATAAATATAACTACTTTTTGAGAATTTTGTTGTTTTGATTTATAAAAAGTAATTCGTTTATGTGGTCGCCTGATAAACGATTACGACGTTCAATTACTATTTGTCCAGCCTTTGAAAAAACTCTTTCCGCTGGTGTTGAGCTTCCAGGTATACATAAGAATTTTAATGCAATATGCTTCAAATTACTTTGACTAAATGACCAATACTCTATGGGATAATTAGATCTGGGTATGATGGGTTTCTCAACATATTGCCTTATGTCAACAATTGCGTCTGCAGTAGGATTTGTGTTGCTTGTTTGACTTTGAGGTTGAAGATATGAAAGCAAATCGCTACGTTTTGATTTTTTGTGCGGAACTAGCATTCCCTCTGATGAACTTTCTAGATCATAGTTTCCATCTGGGCAATTGCCCTGTCGACATCAGCGTCAGTCCTAAAACCCATTTTTTTAAAATCTGGATTTAATAGCGTTGATATAATGCAAGGAGATCTCTTTTGATACGGCTTCAATTTTGAGGCTACTGATATTTTTATATTTTCTAGGACAGCTCTTGCAAAATCTGACATCGGTTCCTTTTCCAGCGTAGCAAAATGTAGTAAGATTCCTTTTATTAGCGGAATTATCAACGATAATGTAACATATTCCTCACCAGATATGGCTTCTGCAGTTAGGTTCGGCGGTGCATTAGGATTTTGATTAAGAGCAAGCGTTAATTCGTCGCGCACTTCCTTTATCCGACTTAGCATATGTAAAGAGCTGTTCCACCTGGTATCAACATGCTGTATTGATTTCAATTCTTTTTTATTCGGGTCTCGTTGAATTATCTTTAGTTTGTCGGAGGCTAACGTACTGTGTCTAAAATAGGTAACAATAGCTTTACATTTATCAAGTAAAGCTTTCAATTCTTCAACGTTTTGAAGAGCATCTTTGATAATTAAATTTAAATTGTGTGCAAAACAAGGAACATGGCCTATTTTTAGATTTTCTGCTACTTTTATCATTACGGGTGCATTATCCGCGACAATGGCCACCACTTTGTTGCGACAGTTCCACTCTTCTAAAATCGATGAAATAACCTGAAAAAAGATGTATGATTTGATAAAAATGCAAACAGATACAAATTAAACTATGCTGTTAGTTTAACTCCTATTTACGATTTGAAGGGTAAGAGAGAGTGATTACCAAAACATAAGGGACCTTCTTCAAGAAAGCTTTCCCACAGAAACACGTTAACCTTCATCCTCAAGGAAAGCAGCGCTCAACTCTCTTACTTACCATCTTACTGATTATAATTAGGTGATATATTGGTGAGGTCTGCCCTATTCTATAAAATATTAGCACAAATATTTAAAAACAGGACAAAAGGATACACCTTTCCTCTCTTCATTATTATCTTTTTCATAACATCCTTTAACCAACTGTTAGAAGTAGTTTTTGGAAATATGTTTTAAATGGTTAATAAATTGTTCAATTAGACCGAAAAAAATGTATTGTATTTTTTTTTACCTAGAAAGCTACAAAAATTTAATTTAAAAATAGATTTTTCATGGACATACATACAAAAACGCTGTCGGCCACTTTATTCTATAGATTATCTATGGTATGACGAGAACAATAGTAAACAAACACTCGCAAGCACGTTGGATATAACCTATCTGAATTTACATTACAAAACCATGATTTCTAATAGATTTCATGATAAATGTAGTAATTATCATGATTGTATTATACGAGAATAAAGAAACACATCGTTAAAACTCCAGAAATGTTGTGGTTTCAATTTTTAAGGTTATGAATGTACCTGCTAAGTCAAAGAGTTTTGTCGTTTCTACTTTCACAAATCCGGCGTCCAGCATTAATTTAGTCAAGAAAACCAATAAATGGAAACTTTTCTTCAAGATAAAAGAGTTTTAGATACATTTTATTCGGACGAAAGAAACCACAGTAACACGACAATGATGTTTAGTTGTTTTGCTATTATGTCACAATCATGGTGGACAGCGTTTTTAGTGTTTAAAAAGCATAGACTAAAAAACTATTTTTCAAATTAAATTACTACAGCCATATTCTAATTTTATGAAGTGAAATCGATGTATTTAGGTTCCTCATACCAAAAATTGTAAGAAATAAACATTAGTATAGTGCAATTTGACATGAGTCAACTAGCCTATTAAAAGCTTTTCATATTTTTTTAGCGGATTTTTGTGCTTATTTTTAATTTAGATGGCTGTATAATAATTTCAACTAGAGCCTCCCAGATTACTTAAAAACTATAAAAAAAACAATGTAAATTTTCAAATGACGAGAATAATCCACGAATTGGAAATCCCAGAAAAGTCTCGAAACTTACTATATGTACTAATATAAATAAAAAATACACTCACGGAAGCTAAATTGTCAGCATTATGATGCCCTTCGACAACTTTTGAAGCCAGTAAAGCAGATATCAGTTGGTTTTCCTTGAGAAAATGGCAAGTCAATGTAAGAATGCCTTGATTGCTCATGGAAGTCCAGGTGTCCGCAGTAATCGCTACATAACGGGTCCCTTCAACAATTTTCAACAATTGAATTTTCATTTTCATATGAAATGAAATGAAATGAAATGAAAAGTCATTTATTCAGTCTAGGCTGTTACAAGCACTTGTGAAGGTCAAGAAGCTACGCCATCGGTTCGCAAAACTACGGCGGGAGACCTTGTACTGAGAAGAACCGGCAAGAAACTCAGCAAGGGCTGCTTTTTTCTCCCTGTATTGATATATACAGATTCGTCAAGTTGAAAAATGATTTCAGAGATACATCTGAAGTCACCTTCCATTACATTATTAAGGATAAATAATTTTGAAAGATTTGCAGTCACTGTTGATCTTCCTGGCAATTCGTACCGCGAATCTAACCCTGCGACAAATTCTTTAATCCCTTCCCGCTCAGATAAGCGAAGGGGCTCCATATCTAATGCAATCATTTTTACAAATAATTCATCTAACATCTTCTTTCTGGACGAATTATGACAGTATTTTACTGTAGGTAGTCTTTCCAGATTTTCCACTTCGCATTTTTCGTTCTGAGAAATCGACATATTCAGTAACATTTCAGGATGCTTTCGATGGAGGTGATCCTTCATATTCGATGTATTGTTACAATACTTATATTCACGCTTGCATATTTTACATTTAATTTGGCTTCCATTTTCACTTTTGTCAAAGTATGTCCACATTGATGACTTTTGCTTTTTTGATAATTTAGGTGCGTCTTCCATTTTTATAAAATGTGTTTTAATTAAGTTACCACTAAATACAGACTCAACGAACGAACACTATTGAACTGACCACTAAACCCAAAGAATAATATTCTTACTTATTTATTTTATACTACCCTCGTTAACTTAGTACGACAAGTAAACTGTGTTGCCAATTTCAGACAAAAAGTGCAACCAAGTAATAAAAGCAACACTTATGTTATGAAATAATAATTACAAGGCAATGTCAAATAATAAAATAAATATAATGCAAGGTTATTATTATTACGCAAGGAAAAACTATTAGATATTATTTATTCCTACATCCTCATAGTTGATTGTGATTGACTATAATACCTGAAAATTGTAAACAATACTATTGCAAATTGTTAAACTATCGATAGTATAGTTGCAAATAAAATCGACAGTATCGATACTATCGATAGTTTTTTATTACCCAACTACAATACTATCGATAGTATCGATACTATCGATAGTTTTTTATTACCCAACTACAATACTATCGATAGTATTTCACTCATCCGATAGTATTGGCTTGTTCT